CTAACCGTTATTTATAGGGTGGTATTGGTACCCTTAAGTACTAAATGTTTTTTAATATAAGTACTACATGCAATCAAATTCTTGCGCTACTTTGATCGAAAAATCTGCGCATGATAGTCTAAATCTTATAAAGATGTGGATATTGGTTCAACTGAGAATCAGTTTTATGAGTTTTTCAAACCAGTTTGAGTTTCATTAATTAGTGCAGGTGTTAAATCATAGTTTTGGTAAGAGATGAATATTTTTGTGTACTATATTCTGGAACACACTCGTTACACATGAGCTACCCCTTTCGCACGTTTAATTTTATTAACGTCAACTCGGCATCCAACTAACGCGTACGACTGTCGGAAAATCCATTTCCATTGCAAGTACCTCATTCACTGTTGACGGGTTGCATTGTAACAAATTACCATTTATATGTACAGCCGTTTAACACTTCGTTTGATTGGATGTTTCACGCCTTAATCTCAAACTCGCATGAATTTGCATTACGTACTTTTCGATCGACCGAAAACTTAACTCATTCGGCTCGATTAACCCACTCAATATTTAAAATGAAAGCGAGGCGGTTCGAAAAGTTTTTAAATTAAAAGTTACAGCCACATAACTAATGTGGCGAGCTATATTAACCGACAGAGACACGAGGGGTGTGCCCTAGATTCCTTTAAGGGACGCCGTATAATTTTGGGTTCAATTATTTATTTAAGTAGGAAAACATACATGCACTCAGAAAAATGCTTTACGAAAAATTACTACAACGTTGTAGAGGTCGTTTTGTAGAAAATGCAACTCAAATTTGTAGTACCGGTAAACTTAAATTTGACTATAAAATTGTAGTGGTAAATTGTAGGAGAAATATCGACAGGGGCTCAGGCAAATTCCTTATAATTTGACTGAAATATTTACGACAACAACTTCGTGAATTTCATTACAAATTGTAGTAAGATTAAATAAATTTTGTAGAAAATATAAAGAAAAAATGTAGCAATTTTTATTGAACATTTATTTCGGTTTCAGTTTTCTGTTCTGCCTCAGACTACACAATATTGTATAATTGTTTCTTAATTGTTGTATACAAATATGCTACTATTTTGTATATAATTTTTTTTAAGTATTGTATAGAGATATGGTACAATGAAAAGTAATTTTTTAGAGGAATTTGCAGTACATATTCCTTAACGTTGTAGTAGAGAGACAAACAGTTTGTAGGAAAAAAAGTAATTACAATATTATATTAATTTTCACTACAACTTGTTTCTGTCCCTATATTCGCT